ACATACTGGCTTAATAACTCACAAACTGACTTATTTCCTAACTCACCGCCTGACGGACAGACTGCCCGACGTTTTAGGGGTCCTTGCCGCCCTGATAATGGAGGCGGAAATAACCTTTGAAACGTTGCTAAACTTCTATCAGACTACACAGAGCAACAATCCAGAACACAGCCATCTTTTAAGTTACCGACTAACTGGATGACTGACTGACTGACTGACGATCGACTACCTCGCTGATTCTGTATCTTGCCAAGTTCCGTCACAAACTTAAGATGACAAAAGCGGGTAACAGCGCATTAGTTCGTACTTACGAGCTATGCGATAACGTTCTTTGTTCGTGTCTCAAATAAACGAAATGAGTTTGTAATTATGATGCAATTATTTTTGCTTAACTGTGTACAATTAGAAATTATAAAAATTGAAAAGAAAAAACAAATCTTTCATGTATCCAGAGTCCACGTTTCTATGCCCCATTAACTATATGGCGGGCTAAGCAGAGAGGAATCAGAGGATCTCACGCCGTGCAGAATCGTAAGTAGATACGAAAGCTTTGAAGGAAAATACCGTCTCGTCTTCAGGGCAGAACATGGCAGCGCTCTCAAAAAAATTCAAAATAAAGTTATGTGAAACCGTTCGGTTCAGTTCCGTGTTACAACAGTCGCGCAACTGTTTTTTCATGTGACTGTTAGTAACTTCAAATTTAAGATAATGGCATTTTCGACTAAACCATAATATCACTGTCTGTAGAGCCGATTTCATGCAAATTGTTTCCCCTGTGTTTGACCCGCCTAATGGTAAAATAAATCCAAACATATTTACAAATCTCTTCGTCACAAACCTTTAAAACATTTTCATATAAAATGAAGATACTGAACTCAGGAAACATATGTATAAAACCTTCAGAGTTTCTCTCCACAAAAATCGATATTGTTAATGCGTCAGAATTGTAGATTAATTCTTTTCCCATAACTTAAATGACAGAGCGGAGAGAAACGATAAAATGACCTTTTTAATAATTTTCTTCCATTGTCCCGTAACTTCATTTTAACGACATAGGCACATTTTTCTCAGAAGCTACAAAAGAAACATAAAATTAAAACCGATAATTGTACTGTTACTTGTGACATCTGTGACACGTAAGCCATAAAGTTATTAAATATTTTTGTATCAACTATGTTTAAAAAGCGATCATTTTGAATGGAAATGTTTAAAAATCTGTTTAGTGGTGTATAGCTAAGAAAAACGAAAATATATACAGAAAATCACAAGTAAAGGTTTACCAAATTTCATGACAGGAAAGACTATAGTTGTTTAGAAAAATTTAGGCCTACATTTATATGCCGAAATAAACAACACGGAGGAAGAGCTTACCGCCTCTTAACATATTCCTCCCATCTGTGCCTAGGTCTTCTGTGTGGTCATTTCCTTCAGGTTTCAGGACCAAATTATTATGTGTGTTAGTGAGCCAGTCCGCCGCTGATCGCGGGATGCTGTGATCGGGTGGGAATCGCCGGGTGCTTCTTGTCTGATGAACGAGCAGTTCAAACAAGCGACTCGTCTCTTTAATTAGCTTCAAAATATTTGCTTTCGGCAGCGGATCACACGCTATGCGATTTATAAAGGGTTTATGCGGATGGATGGATCAACCCGATTCCCTTTGGAACGTTTCGTTTGAAGCTCTCTATCCTGCAAAATGTGGGCCGCAGGCCACTCTTTTAGCGGTTTTCTGATTTACCTCTCCGCAGTAAAATACAAAGAAGAATGGTAAATAAATATTAAAATAAATACATTCATCGTTGATGTGATACGTTTTTTTGAGTTTGAAAAAACAGGCATTTAGAAAATCCTACTCCAGCCTGGAACTGAATCCCGGTTCTCCAACCAGAACACAGTTTACACCATTGTAGTGACATGTGTATGCCGACTCATGACGTCTAACATACAGTATAATTTCTGGGCTTGAACCACTTAGTTTTTTTAAATTGCGTCTAATATTTTGCCATCATATTTTGTGGAATAACGCGGCCATAGCCTATTTTAATTACTAATACAAACGCCCTTCAGACCGAGATTCGAATCGGGTACTCTAGACTGTGAAGCAGTGCAAACCTTTATACTGTTACGTTTGGCCATCAGAGTTCGCAAGCACAAATCCTAATATCAACTGGACACAGCTTCAAAACCAGAGAATTACACTTATTTGTATAGCTTTGAGCTTAACAGCTTTGCTTGTTCCTACTCAGTATCGTCATAGCGACGCGTGTTCATATTTACATGCACTGCTTGCATATGTTGTTGATTTTATGCATTTATCTACCTTTATAACTGTCCTAGAAGTAGGTACAATAACTCTAAGTGTACATTTATGTTAGTCTAACTGGATTCTGTAAATATATTTTATTGCTCAAACATAAAATATTGATCTATAATTGTTTACGCATGTCGAAGCACACTTCTTGGTGGATCTTATTTATATGCTATTTATACACGAGGCATAGTGTGTTGTTTCATAGCCTGTTATTTTAATATGTCCTTTCTGCAAAAGCGTCACATTTATATACGGGATGTATTCATAGCCATTAAAGCAATTCCGTTATCTTCCATAGGGAAGTCACGTGTTTGATTTAAATGGTTCCAGTATAATACCGACTGATCGTGTTCTGAACTTAAACGACTCCAATCTACTCACGTTATCCTACTTCAAGTTCCTTTCGGGTGAAGAGAAACTATCAAGAATTTAGGCACGTTTAACGACTTTTTTTAATACTTAAACAAACTCATGATCTGACAATTGATACACTAATAATTTAAAGACTTGTTTCGAATACAGAATTTATACAGCGTCAAACGAAATGAAAAGATAATTATGAATAATAAAGGGGGAAACAATTTTAAAGAAATAATAATGGTCTCTATCGACGGCAGATGCTGGTCTCCTGAGTTGTAACGCCGTGTGAACCACCGGAAGATAAAACGTTTCGAATAAACATAGTGTCTCCATCTTCAGGGCTGAAATTCTGATATCGTCACAGCAGTGAGAATTTTAAATCACACAAAATCGTGGTCTATTTTAACGTACTTCTTCTACATTAGTCCGCAAACAACAAGGAATATTACTTCTCTGTCTTCTATCAGACTACATGGCGCAACAACCCAGAAGACAGCCATTTTCATATTCGCAGCCGTGAGAACCTGAAATCTCATTAGTGAATGTGTTACCGGCAGCCCGTTTCCGACTTCTCGCCGTGGCGACCAGGTTTTTACTAAGGATAATCCATCTGTAATTTGTGATGGACGAAATGACAATGGGATAGGTTTTTCTCCGAATTCTTCGGTGTCCCCTTCCCGTATCAATTCACTGCTAGTCCATAGTCACTCATATATCTTCTGGGGATAGACAACATGCCCGTTACAGACCCACAGCGACAATAACAATACTCAGCTACCGCTACATCTAGTTCCTCGGTTTCTGCCGAAGTGTTCCCTATTAAGGAACACATGTTTGTTGTTGGAATGAACTGATACCGGTTGCCAGGCCAACGGCCTTGACCGAATGAATGCTGAGGTCGTGGGTTGGAATACCCCCTGGCATGGATGATTGCATTCGTTTTCATCGCCAATTATGTGATTTGTTTAACGAAGCTCTTAGTAGCTGAGACTATACAGTGTCGAATGACAGGATCATTTATGTATTGGAAAAGAAACGAAAAAATTCGGCATTTGCCTACAAAGACTGAGGAAAACTGAGAAAACTCCAGAACAGTTCAGCCGGCATCTATGCCGATAATTGATACCGGGACCTCCCAAATACGATTGAGTGCTAACCGCTCGACTACGACTTTAGATGTTCATGACCTCAATTATCATTTATGGAGTAACAAAACTAGCTGCTTACAGTAATGAACCTGCTGTTTACGTAGAAGGCGGGAAATTACTTCACTAGCTGAGTGTTCTATTAGCTCCTCAAGAAGGAATGTGTTCCATGGAGTTAGTTGCATTTCAAGTCACGTAGTCTACAAGGGTTTGTATGTTGAATCTTTTCAGGAAATGTAATTTATGAAGCTCTATTTGACCTTCACCATCATAAAGAGTGTAAGTGTTCCTACTTCTTATTTGGGATGTCCGAGTTTCGACTATCGACCCTAAGTGAAGTTTTGACGTAAATACGTCCATGAGGAAGGGTCATTCGGCAAAAACGTGTTACGAAAAAGGGAAACTAAAAAGTGTAACTTCATTGTTATGTTACTTAGGAAACGTCATCTGTTTACTCGGCATTGTTGTTACCTAGCAAACGCCATCTGTTTATCAACAAATAAACAACAATGGTTACCTAAGGAACGTCGTGTTTACTCGGCATTGTTGTTACCTAGCAAACGCCATCTGTTTATCAACAAATAAACAACAATGGTTACCTAAGGAACGTCGTGTTTACTCGGCATTGTTGTTACCTAGCAAACGCCATCTGTTTATCAACAAATAAACAACAATGGTTACCTAAGGAACGTCGTGTTTACTCGGCATTGTTGTTACCTATAAAACATTTCAGTACATTACCTTACCTTAGACGCCAAGGTGGTCTAGCGGTTAGAACGCTGGCCTTGTAATACTGGGTCTCGGGTTCGATTCCCGGCGGTGCCCGAATTTATAAATTGTGTTGGGCAAGGCCGTGGTCTGGGCAACACGGAGTTTTCCTGCGGGGGCTTCCCCGGTTTCTCCGTGGCATCCCAACAATTACTCCATTCACACACAAAAGAAGGCAATGGCAAACCATTTCTGGATCATTTGCCAAGAACGTATATGAACAGGTCCCAGTCCGAGAAAAGGATGGAAGGATCCTGTTCATATGGACCTGTCATCAGACAGAACACTAAATAAATAAAATAAATACCTTACCTTACATTTCATTACATTACATTCAGTTACCAGCGTAACTAATTCAAGTTAAATAAGCAATGTCTTAATCAAACTTATATCAATTGTAAAGCATTTATAAAGGAAATATTTAGAATAAAGCCAATATATAAACTTCCTTTCCGTATAGACGTATTTACGTCAAATTCTCCGGAACAGTGGTTCAACTGACAACTTTTTCGTAAGTTTATAAGTCCCTCTAGACCAGGGTGTGCAACTAGAGGTTATCAGGTCTGCTGCGAAATTTTATAAGGTATTTTATGTCATAATTATAGTTTTGAAAGTCAAATATTTCACCACAATTTGTATCACACACAGGTTTATAATCGGTCGTTCTATCCGCCATGTGTTATGTTTTGTTTTAATATTCCTTTATTTTATAGGGCAAGGATTTGTATGTGGGCCTACATATTTAAGGCCATGATAAGTATTGTACCCTCTTTTCGTGAGGCACCGAACGTTGTGGCAGAGTGGTTTACACTCCTGCTTCTTATCTGGGGAGATCTCGTGTTCAAAATCTACGCCGGGAGACCGGCAATCCTGACTGGAGTTTTCGTGTTTTTCCTCAGTTCTTCCAGGAAAATGCCGGAATTAGATTGAGTCGTGGAAGAAAAAAGATTACGAAACATTTTTCTAGAATAATTCTGGTATAGTAACTTAAAATCTATGGCGACCATTTCCTTCCAAACCCCTCCAAATTCATCATTCACAATCATTAATTAATCTGACGCTGTATAACTTATATCAGTAGACAAAGAATCACTAACAGTGTCGAGGTTATAAACGCGTCTAACCCCCTACAGTCATCTAACGACATACTGTTATCGCGTAATAATTAATTAAGTAGATAAACAGCTTTATTTTCACCCTTATGGTTCCGGGAACAAAACACTGCGACGTAAGTAGGCAATCTAACTTTCCCGACATCATAGCTACCGACAAACTACAAGATCGGTAACCCACCTGAGTCTTACTATAAAATATAAATACAAGAAGCGGGGATACAGTGGTAATTTATGTAACCGCTTGTTCTCGGCGGGGATCCAAGTACTCAATACGTGATACTGGTGTCACAATGGTGTGAGACGGACGAGGAGTGTACAAAAGCAGAGGACAGCGGAAGATTTGTTGCTGATCTCAGATACAGAACACGAGATGGCGCTAAAACGACGAATTGCTGACATAAAAAATCATAAGTTCCTATTTGACACTTCAATGCGCCCACAAACACGCAGCTGAAAATAATAATAATAAATACAACACAGACCTTATATGGCATTTGTAAACCAGACAAAGACAGCTACATGATGAATTAACGGCTTAATAACAAATGTTCTTAGTGCAAAAAAATTTACACGTGAATGTTTGATAATTATTAACGTGAAGTAACTTTAATTCACAACTTGTAGCGACAACATAACGTAAGTGTGGTAGCACTCATCACTTCTTGCACTAGAGTCGTCAGAACATTTATAAAAGCACAGAATACCTACAATCAAATACAAGTAGCATACATTTAGTTAAAGAAGTCTGTTTTAATTAACACAACTGTAATAGTCCATAGAATTGTTTAATGATTTATAGTTGCAATATATATGCAAATCTCGCTTGACCTAGGGTCGCTAGATGTACGCAATCACTCGTGTAAAACCATGAAAAAACTATAATACGACGTACAAGGTAGCCTACAATTCATTTCGGTTTATTGATACTAGGGTTAAATAATCTTTTCAGCTTCATAGGTTACACAGTGTCAAATGTTAGCTTGATGCTCAGTAACGAAATGTAAAAGTTTCAGAACTGAAGATGTAGTCAGGTTTTTCCGCCGAAACAGAGAGAACAATCAAAGGTATACATGGCAAAGACCACCAGAAGACCAGCAGTCGTACGCTAAAATCAGAAAAAAATGTCTAAGGAAGAGTTCCTGGCCTGTTTTGAGATTATTATGTTCCGTGTTCTTTGGGGACAATGGAAACTCAGCGAAGACATCCAATCTCAGAAAAGAGATTCCTCCATGGTCTCTGAAGTTTTATTTAGCGTGATAACTGCCAAAGGAAAAACTTTACCTTCAATAACTAATTTCACTAACCCATACAGCAAAGTCTTTTGTAGCAATGTACAATAATTCAGCTATTAAATACACTTCAAGGGAACACAAAATGAATTACAGACTTAAAAAGAGACCGCCCATAAATAACAATGTTAATAACATAGCAACTCTCATAATAACGGAATATGAACGTCCTTCCTAAGCGACGCGACGCTAAAATGACTGAACATTTTTGTCTGTATGGTCTGTGTTGCAGACCTTACGGGCGAAATTCCCAGTCTGTCTGGACTTGATCCAGACAGGCTTCATAAATGGACTGAAACTCTGCTACAACATTTGAGTACACGTAAGCGTTTTCGTTGACTCAGGACGCCGGGTAATTTAAAATATGCGGTGTTCGTACGCAATAATCCGAGCGTTTGCTTGTGTGGGCCATTCCCTGGCAGCTGGTAGGGCACGTGTTCTTATGTGTGCTTGTGTGTGCATGTTGTCCTTCCTGGCGGCAGGTGACAGGCAGGCTGAAGACACACCCGTCTCTGATATCGTCCCCACTAACGTGATCTGCCGGCATTTGGTATTCCTCAGTCCCTCCAGATAGACTTACAGACCACCAAAATTACTGACTGATGGCTGAATTAATTAATTAATTTAAACCCACATATTCTAGACGTCGGAATATTAGTGGTCAGATTTATGCTCAGCTGCTTCAGCTCCGAAAAACTGCCTTCGGTGTCCGCCGAAAGAGAGGTTGAGTGAGTTAAAAGTCCAGTCTGAACCAGTTGGCTAGGAGAATAGCCCCTGTCTCTGTCGGAAATCGAACTCATGTATCAAACCCATAGTCAGCCACTTAATGGGCTCCTGAACAAATCGCCCACGAAGGAAAAGTTTAAATAACTTTTTTTTGTAAGATTACCCGAAGATTTTACACCTGATCACAATATCCTGCCAGTTTCATCCACCTTATGTGCTGGTAACTTATCCTACCACCACCTTCCACATACTATGAAAACTGATTTGGGAGGAATTTGACAGAGGACAGTCGAGCATCATTTATGGTACTATTTCTGTGTTTGCTTCACGTTACTGAATAAAATGTTGAAAAAATGTCAGAATAACCAGTCTCCGAGCTGAGATTCGAAACCTGCATTGTTTGAATACGGAAGGATACTAACCACAACATAGTGACATTTTGTTAAAACAAAGGCACGTTTTAATACAAATTTTAGTGTCAAATTTAATGAAAATCCGTACAGCCAGAACGGCAGACTACTTCCCGCTGCTCCTTTCGTTGATACCACAATACAGGATGATCTTCTCAACATTAATCACATAGTAAATTGCATCTCCACTGCGACGAACACAGTTTAGAGTCGCATGCCACTGACAGCCTCATGTATCGTCATCTTCTTCATTTAGCTTTGCTACGGGGCCGGTATTCGATTTCCGGTACAGGAAGGACTTTCCTTCGTACCAAATCCAAATTGACTCGCAGGCCAACCCAGTCCCTTATGTGACAGACACTCCCAGACGCTCTTTCTCCCGGATAGAAAACGCCAAACAGTGAAGATGACCATTCTCCTTCATCCAGTAGTTTGCTTGAAAGCTAAAACTCTGGAATCCATTACCCCTACACGCTTTTACAAAGTTGGGCTTATACGCAAAGAGAACTCAATGAGATTTCTGATATGAGTTTGCCGACATTTCAGAGATAATTAATGCCTCCATACATCACGGCGATTAGTAGTATCGGTCCGATGATGGGGGCATCAAACACCTCCGAAACGTCAGGAAATGTCTTCCAGACTACAGGGCGCAAGAACCCAGAAGACAGTAATCTGAGGGGATAAATTAATCACAATCTTACTGTTATAAATCTGTAAGTTATAAGTATTCACGGGGCGAAGACGTCAGGGATGAACAATATTATTTTAAGAAGATCACCAGCAGGCACACATTTAAGTGGACCTTTCCATAGTCAATGTACATGTTATCCTACCATCTTCTTCTAGATCCCCCTGATGACCGCTATCTAAGAGGTTTCCTTAACAAATCGTTATGTGCACTAGTCGCTTTTCCCATGCGAGCTACATATTCAGCCCATCGTAACCTTCGAGACTTAACTCACCAACAATATCAACTCCATGCACAGAATCGTTTAAAACCTAATAGCTGCTCAGCTGGTCACAAATACCCCTATTTTATGAAACCAGAAAGTCCTCTATCGTAAGGTCCGCCACTTTAGCCAGATGAATCGAGTCCAAATCGCATTTATATAAATTCTTTTAATATTATCCTCCCACATCCACTTAAGTTACGTAAGCGGTTTCATCCCTTCAGTAAGGTAAAGTTCCTTGTCATATCATGTCTCACATTCTCCACTTATTTTACACATCCTAAGTCTTCTTTTGAAGTATTTCTCTTTTCACTTTGCATGTGGAATTCGACCTCCCTCCACTGTGAATCTGCTTCACATATCGCAACGTCTACAGCTAAGCTTACAGGTATGTTCGCCGCCCCCCATATTATAAATTATATCTTCAGAAAGCCAAGATGTTAACATCACCGTAACGTAACTCTTAACGAAGCAGTGTGCTGTGTATTCATTAACACTCGATGCGTTAAAAAAAGGCCAACAGGCATGAAACTAATTCTGCTTTTTGTTGTATTGTGTGTGCAAAATATGACTAGTCATTCCATGCTGGAACAATAATGGTATTTGAAAATGGGAAGCTAAAGATAATAACTTATCTGAAACTAAGACTGAAAACATTTTGTAACGAGATGCTTCATATATTCTGTATTCCTACAACTCATTTATTGAATGACAACTATCTAATTCCACGGAGCAAAGTCCTTATTGAGAAACTAACAACAGTCTTAACTAGTAAATTATATCAACGCTTTATGAAATCCTAAGGTTCTTTGTTTTGTTCGCAAGAGCCCACCTCTGTCGTTAACTAAACTCGCCTTCTTTCCTTACGCTTCCTTAAGCTACATTTTAAAATTATCCCCCCACCAGTGCCTAGGCGCTCAGAACATTCTGCTTTCTTCAAGCTTTCCAACAACGATTTTCTGCAGAATTTATCATCCCCTACTGCCTAATATATGTTCAGTTCATTTATCCTCCTTAATTTGATAATCCTAACAATATAATGTGACGCGTAAAATTATACAGCTCATCATAATTCAGCTTTCTCCAGCCTCCCTTCACGTAATCTCTCGTACTTTCAAATATTCTCCTTAGAATTCCGTTCTCAAACGCACTCAATTTGTGTTCTTCTCTTAACGTGAGTGACTTTTCCACATTTTCTAAAATACATTTTTGTAAATTATTATATCAGTTATTAAACACTTTACTTTATGCTATGGGAGGGGATGGAATGTACTGAAAACAAACCTGTTCTGGCAATAACCCTGCTGTAACACAGCACCACAGTTGAGAAGCAAACATTGTTCCTTTCTATTCAGAAGGTTCATTACGTGTTCGTACCATAAAGCGTCTTTAAAATTACCATTCGTTTTATCCGATGTGTCGACCGCATAAATTAGACAGGGTCGATAAAAACAAAGACTGTGTATAAGAAAACTCAGGAAGAATCTGACAGAATAGTCGGTTTCCGAACCAAAAATCGAACACAAGCTTTCTGAACATTTCTAACATGACCAGAACTTTAGCAAAGTCTTCTCGGGCTATCAGCCGTGTTAGATGTTGATTAATCGCCGGCGTTTCGAGCACCACCTCTGTCCTCATTTTCAAGGCTGTTGTTGACTGTGGCTCGTAGCGCGAACTGTTTCAAATGTCCTGGCCTTGAAAATGAGGACAGAGATGGTCCTCGAAACGTCGGCGATTAATCAACATCTAACACGGCTGATAGCCCGAGAAGACTTTATTAATGACCAGAACTGCTAATCACTACATCCAGTACGGAAAAATGAAACGGCATAAGGCTACAAAATTCTATTTAATTTCAGAAAAATTAATCCAAGGACATGACGTGCATCCCTTACCAGCACAATTGTGCGGGTCACTTCGTTGAAGAATAAAAAGAAGGATAAAACAAGGATATGAAAGACAGTAAAGGATCAGGAGGGCAGAAAAGATTATTAGAAAAAAGCAGATGATGTAGAAGAAAAACAAAATAATGAAGAAAACACATAGAATTAATTCTCTATTTACTTCCATTATTGTCCTATCCATAAAAACACCACTCCATAAAAAATTGATTTCTTCCTAATGACATGTAGGTACCACAAGAACTTTAACCGACCTTCCGAAACAGCTGAGCACTGAGAAATGGCGGCAGAAATAAATGAGGTTCACCTCGCGTTGGCCAAGAAACAGCCTGGTTATACCTGTAACTAAATTGAATGCCTTCTCAAGTCCACTGTTTCAAATCTAGCCGGTGTCTCTTGCACTTGTGAAGCGAGCTTGTCTTACAGCTAACCACGCAGAGTTCTGCCCTGACCGTGACTTCCGGAATCAGCTGTACTAGAACCTAGTTCCGATTATGTAAGACCCGGATGGACCAGTCTTCGTTTTAGTTTCTTAGTAATAAAACGACTGAGCTCTTCAAAGTTGGATGTGGCACAATGTTGATGGTTTACATTAAAAAAAAATCTCTCAAATTTCGTATGAACATCACGTTTAGAAAGCTTAATTATAAAGTTAAGACTCTACGGACCTTGGCAAAAGTTATATACGTAGAGTCTACTAGAGTACCCTAAGTTGTGAAATGTTATTAAATTTTTGAACTCGAAATTGTTTATTGTACTTTAGGTAGCTAACAACATTTACCAGACAAAACAAAGAAAGAATAAATTATAACGAACGAAGCTTAATATTCTCACGGCGACAAGGATATCGATGTTGACCTTTTGACTTGTAACGCCGTGTGGACTTGTAAGTAGATACTAGCTTTTCAAGGAACATATTGCCTCTATCTTCAAGTTTGGTGAGGTTTCTTCTGCATCCTTAACCCCTATTAACATAACATCTCTTAAGTCCAAATCATTTATAAACGCTTTCTTTTAAAATATTTTCAGTTTGTTGTCTCAGCTTAAGTAACTTGCTTTTCACAAATTCTGAAAACAGAATTAGGTCTATGGGCCTCAGTATATTTAGGGTATTCACTGGGTAGGTTCACGATGAGAGTGTGTGTGTGTGTGTGTGTGTGTTTTCATATGTAGGTCTAAGCCTATACGCTGAGATGTTCAATAGAAACCCACCTCTTGTCAATTACCTGTACCTGAAGTTAACCCCCCCCCCCATGACAAATGACCGGAAACCAGATTTGTGTGGCACATTATAAACAAGACTAGAAAGAATTCCGCAAGCAACAAAAATATATAAAGAATAATACAAGTTCAAAATTCTACTGGTATGTTAGTTATTGATCATAGTTTTCTCTGATCTTCTGGACGGCTTCATGTTTCGACGCATAGGATACTTTAAAGCCCGTCATTAGTCGTCCTCGGGGGAGGATTCATTGAAACTCATTTCCTTATTTTTCACTAAACTTTTAACAATGTTCTCAAAATAAGAGCCCATTTTTCCCAACAGTACAAAACAGTGGGGAATATAATTCTATACACAAGTAATATGATATCACCATTTACTCTCTTCTGTGAGTGGCTTTCCGAAATTAACATTGTTTACAATCAGTAGCATTTTCTTTCACAAAAAACCTTGTAGTCACCAATGGCTTTTTAATTTGATTAACGTGTGATTGTACGTCTGCCACAGAACGGTCTTCGGAGAATGGAGTCAGAACTGTTACTGGCAAACCCGGACGATCAGATCGGCTTATAAACGGTAATTGATTAGAATCTAACAAAAACTCGTGGCGTGCAAAAAATATGCCGCGTAATAATATACCTCGGACAACAACACTATTATCTCACGTAAATAGTTCCCTTGGTAAATAGTAGGCTTCGCGCGTTCTTTCCATACCACAGTTTTACTACGGAACGGGCGTAGAGTTAAAGACTATTTCTCCTGCTTCGTAGTCAGAGGGTTCCGAGTTTACTTCTCAGCCCAGGAAATGGGTGTTGTATTAATAGCATACTTTTGTGCCGAATAAATAATGTCGTCCACATTATCAGTTGGCAATTTTGATAGACTGTCTATGTACAAATTCTACACACAGCAAAGATTAAGGAAGACATATCCCAGTGCAGTGAGAATCATATCTAATATGCTTCTGTTTATGTCCTGGTCATTAGGGTGACTACGTGCATTACACACACGTGCCACAATCGATATTATTTTGTTGCTGACGACATCTGAAATTAACATGAGGCATATACAAATAGAGTCCAGTCATACATATTATATGACTTTCATGGAGACTTGAGTTCAACCAGAATTAATCCTAAATTGACCTGAAGATGAAGGCAGTATTGACCTCTGAAACGTCGGTAAACTCCTACCAGACTATACGGCGCAACAATCCAGAAGACAACCATCTTCGATTTGCGAGTTGTTACAATCGAACTCACATAGAGACATACAAGGAAACTGGCACATTTTTGCAGCTATTAGTTGCGAAGATAACTAAATATTAGGCCAGTTAATAACATGGTAAGCCTATAATGAGAACTGCCTCAATGGTGTATAATAAATTTTCTACGTCTGTTCTATGTGTTTGAAAAAGATCTATATCTATAGGAAGTAAAAGTAAGACTCCAATTAATTTATTTTCAAATTTAGCGCTTTATAGTTGTGAACAGACTGCTCCATATTCCGCCCGCTTTATATCCAAGGATGATCTCCCGGATTAAAATTCCATTATCTGTTCTTAAGTCTTTAATTACATGTTTGTTTGCCATTAAAAATAACCGTAATTATGTTTCAAAACCAGATCACTCTGTTTCTAATGTCAACGCATAATTAAATAGGTCTATACCATTGTCATATAAATGTCTAATAGTCAGAGGCCTCGAAAACAGGATCTGTTTCGCTTCGCAGTGTGCCGCCGGGGAGAAGCGAGCTGGTGGCCGTGGGAGCAGTAGTATTCATCGATCAACAAGTGACGGGATACTGGCGGAACACAGAACACAGGCTTATCCTGTCGGTGCCTCACTGCAGTGTCGAGTAAAACGATGCAAAAGACTTTTACGACGGTGTAAGTTTAACATGGGGTCCGCAGTGGCCGCGCGAACTGAGGCGTGGGCCTTGTGCCGCCTGGTCGCTGGGACCTTGGGTTCGAATCCCACTCAAGCCATGGATGTTTGTCTGCGTTTTTCTGTGTTGTGCTGTGTCCTGTGTACAGGTAGAGGCCTTGCGACGGGCCGATCCCTCGTCCAAGGAGTCCTACCGAATGTCTATAGATCAAGTCAACGAAAAGTCGGGACCCGCAGTGCTCAGGCACTTAAAGAACGGGTCGTTCCCAGTATCCAGTATCCCCAGTAAGTGTAACCTGGGACCTTTGGCATATGAAGCGTCGATGCCTGCCTATGGAGTATGATAGGATAAATATGGACACCTAGTGGCAAGGAGTGTAAACTCTTCTTGATTCATCGCTCAGTGCCCCGTGCCTTTAGGCTCGGCCCGACCTCAGGAGAACCGTTGGTCCTTCTAGGGGTCAGATTACTTCTGCCTCTCGTTCTCTGCGGTTAACAGTTTTATAGGTATTCTATTGGAATATTTAATGTAGACGTAGAAAACCGCAATCTTTCTATTCCTATTCAGTACTTCACAGAATGTTTTCTGAAGAAGGTCATAAGAAATCCAAAATGACTGTCTGTTAACTTCAAACTTTTCCTTGCCCTATTTTAAGACAATAATTCACTTTTTTCGTTATTAAGTTCGAATCGTAGCTCCTGATTTTAAAAGCAGCAAATACTAAAATTTCTAAGGATGATAATTCAATTTTGATTTCACCAACTATTAAGCAACAAACATATTTAAATCAAAGCCAATGTGGACTGCGTTAAGCCACGAATACGCAGAAACTGGCGGTATACATAAGAAAACAGAAGTTTTAGAATAACAGACCAACGTATGAACCATTTTAATTAGAATCGCAGCCTAATGATGGCTCCCTTGACTGCCACGACATTGCCCAGAGGAGCGGCTCTCCGGAATGTTTAAAACGCGTTAACATCACGCTGAAGGCCATCGCCCATGGTGATGGTGCGTGACCACTTTCCCGGCTGGACACACCGTCCCTCGTCCAAGTCATACAAAAGCAACCTGGCACTTCAGTGTTCTTAATACTTAATCTCCACACCTCTTGGACATTTCTCTTTCTCCGCCTTAGAGTACTCATTAGAGTTAATACTGTGAAACAATCACTAGGCCTACTGTTAATTACGCTCACAGCAGCGCCCTCTTGAGAAACTAACAGTCGTTCGGCTTATCCAGTGATGTAACGAAACTGCGTCCGTTGTTTGTAAGTCATTAGGGGAGGATACACACACACACACACACACACGGTCGTCGTGATACAATAAGCTTATCTTTTTAAATATATGGGAAGGCGATTAAAAATCGTCCGTTGCCGAATGACGATACCTAGATTAAAAAGATAGGTGTAAGTAGGCCGATGCTCTGCGTACATTTTGCAAATTAAATCTAAATAATAATCCGTGGCGTAAGAGCCCTCCGAGAGCCAAAGCCGACTAGCTTGACTGCTGGCCTCACGTTCACATGCCTAAGCAGAGGTGAACGATTATCCAACCAGATACAGGGTGACGTGTGGTTAGCACGACGAACCCCCAGCCATTGCTAGCTTTCCTGACCGGATCACGCTAACCATTGTAGCTCCCCAATTTCCTCACGATGCTGGGTTGACACCGGTCCCATACACCGGTCGAAAATCTCATGAGAAATTTCTTTCCCCGAGACTCGAACCAGCGCGCATTCAGTATCACCGTTCCGAAGCATAATGCTTCAGACCGCGCGGGTACGGCGCGATACAAATCTAAATAAAACTTGTTATAAATTGCTAACAATTAAAAAGTACGACATTCTAGATGTGCAAATCGATTTGATGAAACAATATTATGACTACATTTAAAATTTTGAAATAGAAATGTTTTGGAAATATATGAGAAGATTCGTAAGGAGATGGTAGATCAAAATGGACCATACGGTCTTACATATTCATCGCTGTTACTTATTAAACTTTTGCAAAATCACATGCATCAATTAGCATTACAAATTAGCAACAGCTGCAGTCACAGGCCTTGGTCGTGGACGTGTGCATAATGATTTGCATTCCAGAAAATGTTTCTTGGAACGAGAAGCCTTCTGAAGATACAATCTGCTACAGGACATACGATGAACTTGTCCTTGTCGTCCTTGTTCTTTCAATAAGCATAAGTATGCTATCCCTGTGCTCATCAACAGGTTTAATAAAACGTGACTTCAAGTGAAAAGATGGCTTTGCACATTTCAGCTTCCGTTATGGAACCCGAAAACTCATTACCTTCATCATACTCAATCTTGAACCAGCTTAGAACTCACTTCAAAACATCTTAATCTATTTAAGCCCTTAAAGCTCAGTGGTAACTATTTGTACCACCTTATTTAATAATCAGTTATTACGCATTTTGTATTGGTCGGTTTCATATTATTTTCGGAATAAACAGCAATTATTTCTTTATACGCCATCAACCAGTTGATCTTCGTTAACGGTAAAGTGTTGTGTTTTCTTTGCGGTATGGACTAAATTCATAAATATTATTTAGACGTGCTTCGGCTTTAAAGGGTTAAATATTATATTAAACATTGTACTTTCTAAGCTCAAACTCAAGATTTACTCCTGCTCTCAGAATACAGCCTTATGATAAAGAAGAGAGCATTAAAAGATCTTTTTCAAATTCGACTTAAGTTGCGCAGCCTGACACTCCGTAAAGGCTAATTATTTACTATTAATTTGTAAAATAATGCTAAGACACAAACTGTGTGTGTAGATTGCCTCTGAGTCACAGCTGGAGGAGAGGTGGCTCGCGACCAGAACGAGGGAGCAGGGGGAGGGGGCGAAGCAGAGGGCCTCTGATAATGTTTTCCTTCGACTGCCCTAACAGCGGTGACCACCCCAGAAAGTTCATAAAGAAATAAAATCCACCAAAGAATTTGTCCATTTCTCTGAACAGATCAGAATGATTTACATCCTATAGATTCATGACAGTGCAAGAGAAAGCTTGAAGAACACGTCATAAGGTGAATAACAACACTTATTAATACGTATATAGTTGATACAGCTATGTACATACATACATTAGAAAATTTCAGTTAAGTAAATTCATCTGCAGACCGGAAGGAATTAGATAAATTATCGTCTTTTTAATTTTTGTCAATAACATGGATGAAACAAGTTGTTCTCTTTTACTAAATCGGATACGCTGTTCATGAAAACGACAGTAAAAATTCGTAATAAACACAATCTGTCTTCTAATTTCTATTTGGATTTAAAATATGTGAACTTTCGTATCGCAAATTATTCAGTTTGAAAGATAGAACAACAAACTCATGAAATACAAAAATTTAAAAAAAACATTATATATTCCGACTCTAAATTCAATACACATAAAGTTACTTCTTCCACTTGTGAGAGACGATCAATATTATTTTTACTAAATTGTGACGTGATGCAAAACTTCAAGTTCATGTCTGTAATTAACATGTCAGAATTAATGGTAGAAAATAGTTTTCAATCATGTTTCCAAATCCTTGCTGACTAGTTTTATTAAATCAATCAATATAAAATAAGTGTAACATGTATTGGTCCGCAGTGGCCGCGCGGTCTGAGGCCTGGGCCTTGTGTCGCTTGGTCGCTGGGACCGTGGGTTCGAATCCCACTCAAGCCATGGATGTTTGTCCGCGTTTTTCTGTGTTGTGCTGTCCTGTGTACAGGTAGAAGCTTTGCAACGGGCCGATCCCTCGTCCAAGGATTCCTACCAAATGTCTATAGATCAAGCCAACTAAAAGTTGGAACCCGCAGTGCTCAGGCACTTGAAGAACGGGTCGTTCCGAGTATCCCAGTAACATGTAGCACGAAAAGGAGAAAATCATGTGCAGACATATAGGACTACGTTATGGTCAGAGTACGCCCTCATCCACTTTGGTTGCCCAAAAGACGAGAGAATTAAATTAAATGTTAACTTCCAGAAAATTATGTGACGATGTAAAATGGATTTATCTGGCTTAGGAGAGAGTCCAATTGTGTGTTGCATGAGGAAAGTTAATTAATTCCAGGAGAAGTGTAATAGCATAGGTAATGGAGAAGAGAATCTTTTTTTGAGAAGAAATTCTGAAACCAGATGTATACCAATTAATTAAAATAAACAAATAATTACACTGCATTTATTAAATTGGCAGCATTTTAGTTGAGTACCGTCATACAGTTTTCGGATTACCGTTGTATCATCCCAAACTCGACCCTACTGAAATAGTTTGGGTAATGATCATAAACTGGTATTAAAAAAATACAACCTCCAAGTTAGACGATGCAATTAATCTTAATAATAAGAGTTTTGCTACCATTATGAATACTGGGAAAAGGGTGTTCGCATGTGTAAAATATTAAAACCCAGAACAGGAGCAGTAAAGGTATTTTGGATGCTCTTGAAATTAAAATATGTGCAAGCATTGTTGCCAGTATTTAAAATTAAATTACTACAGACACGGCGATGTACCACATAATGTTGTTGAAACGTCTGGACTGACTTCGATACCCGGCATTGTTCCTCTGAATATGTATAGTGATTAAGATACATGACTGACATAAAGACCGTTTATTTCTGTACATCTGCGGTTGTATTTTCAAGAATTAACACTTGAAGGTGGTGTACCGTGTTGTTTCTCTTTACGTAAAGGTACAATTTGGCTGCACGCGACAGAGACAAGCGACCGAGGCAGGCGACAGAGTTACGAGACCGAGACTGGTCGCTTCCTGTCTGCTCTCTGTACAATCGTATGAAGTACAATTACGAGCGCGAGACAAAGACAGGCG